TAGAGGTTGTAGCTAATAAACATAGCTGAACTGATTTTGCATTGTTTCTTGGAGTTCCTTGGGCTAGGCCTGACAGGAAGGCATGTATTGCACTCCCAAAGTATTATTTAATATTAATATTCATTTTAATTTGAATCAATGTATTAATATTAAATATTGATGCTATTCAGATGGTATATTAATATTACATGATAGCATCATCCCTTAATCTATTACATTCTACAAAGCTTAATTTCAATTAAGTCAATTTAAAAGAAGAAACAGCTAGAAAAACATAGACTAAGGTGCACAGGTGGGCTTTCCTCTTATTTAGGAGGAAAAACTGTAATCCAACTTTTGGGGATTTAATGTTTCCAAGTTCCCAGAAAGGTGGCCAAGCTACTCTGTTGCAGCAAAAACAACCAAGACTCTTTTGGCATCTTAAAGACTAATGCATTTATTATGGCACGAAGTTTTGTGGACTATAGTCCATTTCATCAGATGCATAAAGTATTATCCCAAGAAAAGTCTTTTTAGATACCCACAGTTTGTAAGGCTGGGTTGTAGGGGAGAGAGGAATAGTAAACAGGTCAGAGAGCATGAAAGGTAAATAGCGTGCTTAAAAATAATGACCAGCAGAGGGTGGCCATTCATGGAAGAGTTTCCTGGTGGGACAAAGTCATGAGTGCAATGATGAGCAGATTTATCACAGTCAATGCATTAAAAAACCAGCCTGCTGAAAGGCTACCTTTAGCTTTGAATTAAAAATGGAAACCATCCTGCAAAGGGATATTCTGATTTAAATTGCAAGTGTAAAGTTAGAATCCTGTAAAGAGGAGGGCATCCAGTCTCTGTTTTCCTCTCCAACTTCCTCAGTCTCTCGTATAAGCCTCATCATCCCTTCACTTACTTACCAAAGCAAATGTCCACCAGTTGTCAGGAGCTCTGACAGATGAATGGCTTGTTCTCTCAGTTCCCGAGGGCTAGACATGGAATCATGGAAGGCCGATTCTGACTGAATTTCAGAAAAAGCTTCATAATAGTAAAGAGCAGTAGAAACCATTACCCAGAGATTTCCTCATCATTGGAAACGTCCAAGGTGAGGCTGGACGGCCATCTATCAGGGATGTTTTCATCTTGTTTCCTGCAACAAGCAAAGTTTGGCCTACGAGGTCTTCAAGGACTCATTAAAGTCTATGGTTCTATCCCTGCTCTTGAGCATCACCTAGACTTGGTCTCCTCCTTTGGCTCGGAATAAAGTCATTTATCACCAACAGCTTCTTCCCAGTAGAGTTTTTAAAATGTGCACGGCGAGTTTGTTGGTGGGGGCTTCTGCTAGCCACAGTTCTAGTTCAGCTTCCCATGCACAGGAAAGCAAAATGTTGCATTAGTAATTGAACTCCCCCACCCCATATCTCCACCTCTTCAGTCCTGCCTTGTAGCTCTAAGTCAAAGAACATCAGTACCCCAGAGAGGTGGAGTAGCTCTCCCATGCCTTGTGAGTTAAAGCAAGGTGTGACGCTAGACCGTTCCTCTGCAAATCTTCCTTTGGATCAGTGTCATCCTTAATTTTTGGCTCCCTTGAAGTAGCTTCTGCATTTTTATGCAGAGGGATTCAGTACCTGACAGCAAACCAAAGTTGGCTTCTGTGCTTTCTGCCACGTAGCTGAACGCCAGACGTGTCACTTCAGCTTGCTTCTCCCAGCCAAGGAGCGCAAGGGGATCGAGCCTTCGATCCATTCATTGGGCATTGACATCATTTCCTGCCAGAAGGCTACTTCCTCTTGTGTGGAATCCATCCAGTCGACAGCAATTCCATAACTGAAGCCTGGCCCAAACCAAGAAGCGATAAAACACTATAGAAATGAGGCTGTTGAACGTGTGTCCAACTCTCAAGTTGGGACCAAACTGGGCGAGACCCCATTTGTGTTCTTAGACATGGGTGGATTTTGTGAAAAAAGCAAACTGCCACGTAGCTGGCCTATTGCCCAAATATTTCCACATGCAAAAGGGGCAAATGATGGCTGCTTTGAACCTTTTACTTGTTCTATTTAACTACTCCAAATTAGGCTGCCTCAGTTTCCTATTTGCATTGGAAAAGCCTCCAGCATTCTAGGTATGTCAAGTCACTGCTCAACTAACGTACCAAATGAGTGGTGCATAACCTGTTCATCTTCCCCCACCCCCAAAAGAGACTTGCCTCTCCAATCTCCAGCCCTGCCTTAATTGCAAACCTGAGTGATTTCAAAATTTGCCACCAAACTGTAATTTTTAATTTGACAGAAGGGGAAAACTCAACTATTATTGAACTCATAGGAACAAATTGAGTTGAGTTGAGTTGAGTTGTTGAGTTTTCCATTAATGCTGCCTCCAGCTTTTATCTCAGCTGAGTGTTGGGAACTGCATCCTCCAGCATGACACTGAGTGTAAGTTTAGTGTAATGGTTAATGGTTCTGGAGAAAAAATGGACTATAAATCCAACAAATCAATAATAAGATAGAACTAACACTTAAAGCTTCAGCCCTCCATCTGAAAGGAATTCTGTGCTCTTCTGATAAGTGTTTGTGCTTATTAGTACCTTCTGCCACAACTGCCTGTGTATCCCCACATCCCTATATAACTTCTCACTGCAGTAACTTTAGCCTGCTGCAGTTGCAAAATTATGTATTTAGATTTCTGGACAGATGATCTACCATGGGAGAATTAAAATGAAGCAAAAAGACACAGACGCCATTGACTTACCGGTCCCAAGTCCTAGTCGGATCCCACCGAGAAAATGATTGGTTAGTTTTTCATGATCCCAGACAGTCAGTTCCACACAAGCGTCTTTCAGATCTTCTGTGTGAAAGCCATCGTATACAATGGTGTGGTTGAAGATAGGGTTGGAGTCTCTCTTGACAATTCGGGTTTTTTGATAACTTTTCTTGCTGGTGTCTGGAAGAACATAGCTTAAAAAGAAGAGATCAGCATTTTATCTTAGGTGGAACATCAATAGATTTCTCTTCAGGTACTTCCTAATACTTAACATTTGCTTTGTGGTTTTCAAAGTGTTATAGGTGTCTGTTGCCATAACAACACATCAAAATAAATCAATATTATTAATCCCCTATGTGGCAGATAGGATGACCACTCTAATGGAGAGTCACTTGACTAAGGCCTCCTGTTAGGTTCATAGCAACAGCAAAAATCAATATGGAGATTTCCTGGTTTGGTAGGTATGGCAGTTCTTCAACCAAACCCTTAGATTATTTTTGCAGTATTTCTTATGTCAAAATTGGGCATATTTCTCTACCCTGATGCCCTCTTGGCCTACAACCTCTATGATCTCTGACCACCTTGCATTAAGGATTTGCATTGTCTCATCCAGCAAACCTTGGGATTTTCAAATAAGGTTGCTCAAAACATGAATTTAAATCAGGAATCAATCAATCAAAGGAAAGATCAGAACCCCACAAATGGCACGCCTACCATTTCACAAAGGAATCCACTCCAGAAGGGCGTAACTGTGGGAGATCTTTGGTATCCTTCACCCAGATATGAACCTCTCCAGATGGAGGAATTTTTCGGCCTGCCATGATGTATCATGGATATGGTAAGTGAATAAGTCATGCAACGGCATTCAATGTTAAGAACATTACTGTAGAGATAATGGAATCTAGCTCATTGTTTCTCAGTCTAGTTCCCTCCAGATACATTGAGGGATTTCAACCCCCCGGATTTCCAATCCACATGGCCTCCGTATGATTCTCTATAAGTTTTGACACTGAACCTATCTGGAAGTATCTATTCCAGCTACTTGCACTGAGACAGAATCCAACCTATTTGAACCTTCTTGTGTTGGGTTCATATAGTAGAATTATAAGTGCTTGTTGTAGACTCTCTCCCAACGTCACTACAACAGGATGAGGGGCTCAACTCTTCACCAAAAGTCTATAGAGCACCCATTTACTAGAAGACAAAGTGGTAAAGATACTTTCCTGCTACCTCCTGTCCATCACAAGATGCTTTCTAGCACCCCAGATAACCTTCACCTTTCCCCCTGAGCAGTTGAGGACACTTCCAAATGGAACATACCCTTTTAATTTTTAAAGAATGTCTATAGGGTGCAGAAGCATTTTTGGAGATAAAAATGGGGTTTCCTACGCAGCATACCAGCTCTCCATTTATTCATTTGCTTCTTTGAATAAAATAGTAGCAGGATGTCAGTGAGTTCAAGCACCATGGGCTTTACATTGTCTACTTCTGCTTTGCTAATATCAATGCATTTTCTGAAAACAGCTGAGTTGTTTTTTTACCTAGACTTCCTGGTGGCACATATTTGATGGAAAGGTTCATCGCCCCTCGATGGTCAGCGCTATTGATGGCTGAGAGGCTCTGAAAAAGAAAAGGTATTGATAGGCATAACCCCAGGATGACTGCCGATCGCTCAGTCATGAGAGCTGACAACTGAGAAGCTAACGTCTGAATGGCATCAAACATCTGTTGGGGCCAAAACCTGGCCCACCTAAAGCAACCAGATCCCTTTGAAGATACAACACAATTTTATGGCATGCATACAATAAAATTTCCCAGCAGAAAGCAGAACCAGAACTTATATACCCTTGGCCTACCACATTGCAAAGATAAGACAAAGACACAGGCAGACGCCGTGGAAATCACAGGATGACGTTGGAATGATAAATCCATCTGGGTGACCTTCTCATTACTTCTCCCTTCCTTCTAGGTCAGCATGGCAGCTATGCTATCTCTGAGATACGGCCGGTGAATATAAAGAATTTGATTTACTGGGCCCGGGTCCTTGTCGGATTCCTCCCCCTGTCGTCCCTCAGGGTCAATTCAGCTTGCTGGGCATGTTTTCTGACAAGGACACTTTAAGCGGTTCATGCGCATGGGGGAAGGGGGGCATCTCATAGGCTTGGTAGTGAATGCAGCTTGCATGTGTGGGGGGGACCATTGACCACTACAATCCCACAAAGTTCCATTTTAAAGAGAAAAGAAAAGTAGTTAAAAGAGAGAGAAAAAAAGAAAAGCAGTTAAGGATTTTTTAATTATTCCAATTGTGTGCGTGTGCAATGGCACGCTGCTCAAAGCAATTTTTTTTCTTGCAACTGCCCCCCTCCCTGCAGGGTCCCTGTTTGGCACACCATTTGCATGGCTGGTTACAGGGCCCTGCCTGAACCCCTCCATCAATTGGCTCTCTGTATATCAATATGCTTATGACGATGACGATGAGAACCACACATCTGTTAAAAACAGCTGCCCCCAGCTTCCAGGGGTCCCCCTATTAGAGTGATTTCTTTTGCCCTCTTAAAGACTCAGCACAGCTTTTTGCTGGAACAATAGCTCTCCTCCTGTGGAATAATTCAGTCTGGAAATGCTCTCCCCAAAACAGGTATGGTTTGAAATAAGAACATCATTCTAGGTAATACCTTCATTTCCACCACCGAAATTCTTCCAAACAATGATAATGGAAACTTTTACCATCTGATTAAGTCCTTTTTAGTTTCATTCCATACTTTGACATAATTGTTTTGAAATAACAAACAATTCATATGAGTCATAACCCCATCCAAGTATTTTACTTTTTTCTCAGTCTGAAAACCAGTTTCTTCCATCAATTCTTTCTGATCTTCCAAAAAGTGTACTGCTTTTACAATTGTGGCTTTTTGCTGGGTTTAGGTTTCGCTCAGACAAGTTCTGTTGTTGGAAACTGTCAAGCTGGAACGGTGACTAAATGAAACGATTGAAAGCTGGGATAAAAATAAATGAATAAATACAAGCCAAGTCTCCTTATCTCAAAATCAGAAACCCTGAAACGTGGAGGAAAGTTTTCTAGCACTAGAAAAAAAGAGGATAAACATTTGACGATTAAACAGGGAAAAAACCAAACAAAATAATTAAGCATTTTTCTCCTGGGGGGGAAAAATAACTTTTTAGCAGGGTATCAGCTGAGCTGTGCTTACCCGTGGTTTGAGCATGTACCAATTTAATTTGTTGTTCCTCCAGTCCCAGCTGGCCAAGTCAATTTCCATCTCGCCTAAGAAACTGTTCCGCCCCAAAGGATCGTTGTGCCACACGGAGAGGTTCAACTTTTGAATCAGCAAAACCATTTTCTGTATTTTATACTGGGGAGAAGGCCAAAGGAAAATGGATACTGTTAGGCACCCGTTTAAAGTCATGAGTAGCTTCATTCTGGGAAAGACTTTAGGATTAATTAAACCACCTAACACTCATGTATGGTTTGCCAAGAGTTCTAATCTCCTGAAGGCAACCCTGCTCTTCCTTACCCGCAACACCTCGTTGTAAACGGGGCTGACGGTTCTCTTCTTCACTGATGTCTTCCTCTTGCCCATCCGTGCCTTATCTGGAAGCAGGTAGGTTTTCACGTATCTGAAAAGAGATTGCCACTAAGTTGAGAATTTAGCTGAACGGTCTCTTGCATATCAGCTGGACCTGATCTGGCTTCTGCATTCTGATGACTTGATGGAATTGGAAGCAGCCTTGGATGAAAGCTACGCGTGCCCATTTTTCTAACCTGAACATTTCTGCTAGGGCATTAGAAGAGGTGCTTCGTAGGGTATGTTGGTGAAAACCAAGTGCCCGTCCTTGAGTTGTTGAGGCTACTGTGTCCTCTGGAAGATGTTTCATTGCCAGACCGTCTTAGCATGATTTTGCTCACCAAACCCATTCACTTCACCAGCAGTCCCAGCAGAACTGTGGCCCAGATGAAGAAATCGACGAGATTTCCAGATGAAAAGGCTTGCATAAATTAAAAAAAAAAACACCTCTCTCCAGTGATAACCTAGCAGATCTAAAAGGGGCAATGTTTTTAAATGCAAGAACTCTATTAAAAAAAGATTATAAAAAGAGATGGAGTGCCCCTTTTAAAATAAAGTTGGCATGTTTAAACTGAACAGAGAAAGCAGAAAATGCAAGCAGATGCTGATTTAAGGAATGAATCAGCTAGGTCGACCAACCAACCAAGAGCTGGACTGGGCGATCACATTTCTGCACTCTAGGAAACAAGCACAGATAGGATCCAGTGCATGCTTGCTTCTCCATGCTCTGCTGGTAGGGTTGCTTGCCCCAATATCTCCTGATGTCCATGTTGGGCCCTAACTTTCAAGTGACACATATGTGTGTGAAATACAAAATAGAATGGGTAATTGTGCATGCAGTCTATCCAAGTAACATAGAGTCTTCCTTGTGCAAGTCCAATGTGAACTTTGGGCTGGTGCATGGATCTCCGGGATGCTAGAGGAAGACAGGTACAGAAAGTGGAGAAGACACACCCGTGTCCTTTCCTTTTCATGCATGCGTGATTGGGAATAGGACGGCCATGATTAGCAGAGTCGTGATTTCTCAGCTGGGGTAGAAGTAATAGCCTTAGTGGATTCTCCAGTATCAGGATTTTTCAGATTGAATTCTAGACAGCCCAGCAATGCTTAACAAAAAAAATCAGGACAGTAGATATTACTAATACTTTAAAAAAAAATCTTCACTCACGGGTCTGTCCTCCCTTTCTTTTCATCCACAATGGCCAAGTCTTTGCACTGGGACACGAAAATTTGGAACTCTTGGTTCTTCTCATCATAATCCAAGGCAAATTGGACTAGCCCCTGAGCATCGACGCTCCCAAAATCACCACTGTACACACTGAGGACACTGCCACTCACCTAGACAGGGGAGAACAGGGAGACCACGATAAGGAGGTCTGTGAGTACAAGGCAGAAGGTTCACCAGGCGTTTAGCAAGCCTCCATCTTCTACTCATACCGCCTTGCTTCAGGCAGAAGAGAAATGCTCTTTCAAAGACTTAAATCTTGAATACATCTTGGACAGAATCAGATAAAATCTCCTGGGCATTCTCAAAGTCAGATTGTCAACTTTACCAGGTAGACCAGACAGGAAACATGACCAGATGAGCTAATTCTACTTTATGGTAAAGCTACATTAACAGAATCTTGCAAGTCTGAAAGGACGATTCTCCCGCTGTCTCCTTTACAGCCTGAGGAACTAGGGAGGGTCCCTTCTGAGCCTCTTGCCCCGCCCACTATCCAGCTGCGGGCACTGCTGTCCCTTATGTGACCATTCCCTAGGCAGCATCTCTTCGCCCCATCTGTCTCCCAAGGTCTTTCCCACCTACCATTTCAGAAATGCAACCTCTAAAAACGTTGAGTCACTGCCATTTTTCAAGAGAAGAGGAAAATAATTATGTACACAGAAAGCAATCGGATTCTTTGGATTGAATTAGCATCAATTACATTCGCAATAATTTGCCAGAGCAGGGCACACATGGGTCGCACATCTGAATGAACTTCCTTCATCTTACTTAGCCAGAATTTAAGGTGTACTGCACTTGGATTGGATCTGCCCCGTGATGCTGATCAATTGGACTGAGAGCTCATGCACTATTGCAGAGATTCTGTTCCAGAGATCTACAAGTAGAACCATGGAATGTAAGGGTTAAAAGGGATCTTGCAGATCATTGGGGCCAGCGCATTACCAATCAGAAGATGTTGCACCTCTTGTAGCTAAGACTTTAGGCACGACAGAGGAATGTTACATACAATTCTAATTTGGAAATCGGTCACCAGAAGAACAAGTGCCAAAGCATTTTTAATTCCTAATGCAACCGTCTGTCCGTGAATTCTGAACATCTGCTACTGTCCTCTTCCGAGCCTCTTGTGCAGATTGATGATTGTAACAAATAAATTGCTTACTAAATCACTGTGATGGTTTGCCTTGGCACTGTCCGTTTCATGGTCCCTGATGCAGCCCTCGATGTCCTTGACTCCCCCAAAATGCTTATACCCAGGAATACACCTGAATATGCTTTTTGGGTGAGCACTGTAACAGCGCAGGATCTGAGAACGTGATTGGCAAGCGGGGATGGTGCTCTATTTTCATCCTATCTTTCCTCATGGTGGAGATGTCCTTAGACAGGTTCTTGGCCCAGCTCTTTGGAAGTGGCTAAATCAAGGGGCTGCCCATAATTTTTTTATTTCCCCTTAATGTCTCCCATGTGGTACTGCCGCAGACCATTGTGGGAAATGGAAACGATAACTTTAAGCCACTGGTGTGCATTGCAGGGCTGGCTGCTGTTGAAAACCCCTGTGGTGGCCACAGGAAGATGTTTCCAAGGGTCTCCCCACATGTGGAGCCACCTGTGCTCAGTTCTTTCCCATCTTTTATTTGACACTATATCTATCCCCGCCATAAACTTTCCCTCCGGGATTATCCTATTCAGCTAGGGTCAGATCTCCCTTAGATTGGACTAGATTCTTGGTGATCTCATGGGCAAGCCCATGTATTTTTCTTGGCAACAGGACAGAAACAGTTTGTCATCGTCTTCTTCTGTTGTTGTTTTTTCACTTCCCAGTCTAGCCTACTGCCCTGAGATTCTCTGTGGCTTTCTTTCCAAGGAGGTCAGCTCAGGTCCAATCCTACTTAGTTTTTTTTGAGGTCATCTGAGGACAGCTAAGGGCTGCCCCTGTTACAAGCAATAATTGGGGCAATAAGAATATGGTATTTAACCAATATCTCAGTGAGGGTCTGAGGAAGCTTTCAAATAATTAGGGTGGTGAGAAGGGGGCGGGGTGGGTGGGCAAAAGATAATTAGGATAGCTTTGGAGGAGCTAAGAGGGGTTTTCCAAGAGTGTCTTGCTGAAGCAATATCTCAAGAACCTACCGAAGAAACAGAAGCCATGTCAGAAGAATGGCTGCCCACACTTGATGTCTTCTTGTGCCTATTGAACTGGAAGCTGATTTCTGAAGCTGTGTCTGATTCTGTCTGCAAAGCACACCAAAAGAAATTTTTAATCTGGCACCAGTTATAAAACATTCTGATGACTGGATCTCAACAAAGCCGCAAAGTGACATTGCTCTTGCTCAGCGCTTCAAAAATTGGAGTGTCCCATTAGCAGACCCTTCTAGTGAATGAATCAACCACTGTTTCCCCTCACAAGGATTGCATTATCACATCACCCCATGTTCTGGATCATGCCCTTGCTTCTGATGGGTGGACTACATAGCCTACTTTTAAGAACCACCCAAAGGTCTCAACCCAATCCAGAAAATCAACATGGAGCACTGTTTGGAAATCTGACTGGGAAAAGGAAGACTGAGGTTTAAATCCACCTTCAGCCTTAAAAGATCACTGTGTGACTTTGGTCTAATTCCTCAATTCAGCCTACCTCACAGAGTTGTCACTGTGGGGATTAAATTAGAGATCCAGGAGGAAAGGTAAGATGGTGGTGGTGGTGATGAGGATGATAATGGTGGTGATGATAACTACCACTAGAGCAACAATAAGAGTAATAAAGAATAAAAACAATAAATGATCAGCCTACCTCAGAGAGGAGGAAAGAAGATCTGCTGAGATCTTTGGCTCTTTCAGGCTCAAGATACTGATGACTTAACACCTGAGGCTTCGTATAGGCTAGGGACAAAAATAGAGATGCTTTTATGCTCTGTCTTACCAAGCTGCAAGGTTCCTGGACATTGCTTTCCTTAAGCAGCCTTCCAGAAATGGTGGAAAATATAATAATTCCCAAAATGCCAAACTTGCTGGGGGGAGGGAGGGGGAGGAAAGCATCTTGGCTGGGAATTCTGGGAGTTGTAGTTCCCCCTCCCTCTGGAGGGCACTTCTCAGTTTGTGAAGGTTCTATTCAGGCCCAACACAAAGGAACTGCAAAAACGGTGCAGCCTTTTGAACAGACAGCTGATTTTCAACTCTGTGCATTATCTTTTTCCTCAAAATGCAGGAGACTTGAGGGCAGCGTTATAAGAGTACAAGGGGAAAAAAAGGAAGGAAGGAAGGAATGGCTATTTTTTGCATGTTTCTCTTTAGATTTGTCTCCCTCCAGTGGTCAAGAACCAACTTTTTTTTTAAAGCTAGACCAAGAGGTTGAGGCACCGCTACTTACTTTCAGTGGTTGTGTAAAGGTTCACCATGCTTTTTGCAAGGCTGCAGCCATTGGCGCGTCTTATCTTCTTGAAAACAGGAACGTGCGGGACCTCTCCTTCTGGAACACATGGAAATCCATTGGTTCACGTTCAACAATGGGAGACGTTGGGCTCTGCGGCTTCCAAAGCTTGACCAGTGGGCTTTAAGGGCATCCTCAGAGGGGTCAAAGAATCAAGGGGGCAGCCGTGTCCATGCAATCAAAACTTCACCCCTTTTTACATGCATCACAGACATGAAAAAAGGGGGGGGGGGCTTTGACTGCATGGACATGACTGTCATCTTGATGTTTCTGACCCCCTCTGCAGAAGTCCCTTCCAGTGGAATTTTCTATCCTCCCTTTCTTCTCATTGTTCATTTAATGCAAAGATTTTGGTTGATGGACCCAGAATCCACCCAGCTGGATGTACTAGTTTGGATATTTTTTTCATGTCAGCCATTCACCCTCCTTCCCACTACATTTTGGAAGTGGGGAGGGGCTTCTGAGGCTCGGCGTTCTGCTTGGTGGCGGTGGAGGCCTGTTCCGATGAAGAGGAACTAGACCCACCAAAGCAAGCAACAGCCGCCTTGTACTGAACTCGCAAAACATCATGCCTCTACTTCTGAAGTTTGGGCTTGGAGTGCTGTTGCAAACAGCATCAGGGCAACACCATTCGCACACACATGGGCGTGAATTGTAAAATATAGAGAGTGAGAAGGAGTAAGTTTCTTGGTCATCTCAGTCCAGATCAGTCTACCATGTCCTTACTCTCATGTTAAAAAAAAAAAAAAAGCAATCCCCTAAAGTTTTCTTTAACAGAAGGAGGAGAAGGAGAAGGATAATGAGAATAAGGGAGGAGAAGGAGGAGAGGAGGAAGAGAAAGGAGAAGGAGGAGGAGGAGGAAGGGGAAGGGGAAGAAGAGGAGGAGGAGGAAGAAGAAGGGGAAGAGGAAGCAGCAGCAGAAGAAAGGAACACTTTATTTTTATTTGTAATAGTTTGTTTTCATTTGTGTGTTTTATAAACCATCCTGAACTCTTACGAGTTTGCAGTTTTTTTCCAGGGAAAAGATTATGCTTGAATTTTGATCAGTGTGCCAGGCTGACATTCCCAAAAGGAACTGGGGTGGGGTGGGGGAGAGAAACCAGAATGAAAAATAAATTTGATTTGATTTATATTTCACTGATATTCAATATAGCTGGCATGGTCCCTTTCCAGTCATTTAGTTAACCATTTTTTCCCCCTGCCAGGTTAGAAACTCTGCAACTTGGTAACAATTTTTGGAAATTTTAGGGGGCCAGCCCCAAATTGTGAGGGGGTGTATGAAGTTCTGTATATCCAACTGTTTAAAGAAGTGAAAAACATGTTATTGA